TCAGCAGTGTCATGGCAGGGCAGGACAGGACCCCGCCAGGCCCCATGCACCCTCTCCACAGCTTCAGGCACCCCTTTCTCCGCGAGGCCTGTGGAATGACTGAAAGCCAGGTTCAGCCTGAGCAGGGGCTGCGGAGAGCAAGCAGCGAGATGCCCAGGTACGCCAGCACTAGGGCCTGCAGGGGGACGTGAGGGCCGTGTGGCTTACTGCAGGGTCCCCTCTGCGTTCCCTGGGACACCAGGAGCACTGTCACTCTTTGTGCAGGTCACCTCCTGCGGCCTTCATTACAGCCCTGTCAGCAGCCTCCCCTACCATCAGGGCCCCTGGGCTGCCCATGCGAGGCCCCAGGGACAGAGGCAGACCCACGGTCCCAGCTCCTGTTCGCAAGGGCGCCCTGCAGACCTTGAACGTGGCCCGGCCTCGCCTCACCGACGTGGTGGCCTCCCATTACGCAGATGGGGAAGCCGAAGCCCAGGGAGGGGAACTTCGCCCAGGCCCATGACTGACGGCAGGGCGTGTGCCACAGGCTCCGAGACGTCCCTGCCAGCCTCACCTCTCCCTCGGCGAGGCACCGCCCCCACCTGGCTCCAGTGAACGCGGCATCGGTCGGGAAGGGAGAGGAGGCTCCCCTGGTGTCAGTCCCCACCTCATGCCACCCCCAGAGCAGCTGTGGGAGGCGCGGGTACTTACTCTCCTCGACGGATGACGCCTTGCTGACCTTCTCAAAATCAAGGACAGACAGCGTCTCCAGAACCTGCTTTTGCTGTGCCACCTCTTCCAGAAGGTATTCCTGGACCATCCTTGACAAATTAGGGGAGGCCAGCTTCTGGGGGCCCATAATGCTCCTGGTTAGCCTGGAGCATGCTCTCTGAGGTCACCATCACTTCTGCGCCTCCCCCCGCCCTGCACATACCCTCTCCTCCACTGGCAGCTACTACGGGGAAGGGCGTGTCCCCTTCACCTTGGTGGCTGCACTGCTGGGGAACCCTGTGCCACCAGAAGGGCCGGCCTCCCTGAGAGCGAAGCCAACCCACACTGCGAAGCAGAGCTGAGAGGGAGATCTAGTCATAGCGGTATCTGAACTCCTGGATCCAGCTGGGCCTGATGCCCACCTGTGAGCCTTTCCATACCACGAGCCAAATAAATTTTCCTTTTGGCTGAGCCAGTTTGGATTGGGACCCTGGCTATCCAAACAAAAGAGTCATAGCCACAGTAGGGCCAGCAGATGGCATAGCAGTTACATCGCTGGGCTCCCACATGGCAGACCACGGTAGACCCAGTGGCTTAAAAATCAGCGGAGTGCACGTGTGTGCCCAAGATTCCAGGAGGAGAATGGAGGAGAAGGGACTGTGGTGTGGCCGTCCCCCCTGGGAGGTGGTTTCTCACTCCCTCTCACTGTCTCTGTCGAGCACACATCCTAAGGCAAAAACCTCTTTAAAAAAAAAAAAAAAAAGAGCCACAGCCTGGGCCTTTGGTTTTGGGCTCGTGCTGCATTGGAGCTGCGTGACGGTTCACCCAGCCCCTGGCCAGAACCCCGTAAAGACCTCCTGGCTCACCGGGGCTCTCGGGCTGCCAGCTTCTTGCCCCTCACCATGCTTCTCACTGCCTTCCAGAAGAGCCCTTTGCCACAAAGGCTCCCCAGTCCAGCCTGGCCCTCTACACACCCGGCCCGGCCCCCTGCAGCCCCAGCCTGGCCCTCCGCACCCCTGGCCCCGCACTCAGCCACCTACAGCCCCAGCCCAGCCCTCAGCACTCCCAGCCCAACCCTCAGCCCCCTGCACTCCCAGTCCAGCGCTCAGCCCCCTGCACTCCCAGCGCAACCCTCAGCCCCCTGCACTCCCAGTCCAGCGCTCAGCCCCCTGCACTCCCAGCCCAACCCTCAGCCCCTGCACTCAGTCCAGCCCTCAGCCCCCTGCACTCCCAGTCCAGAGCTCAGCCACCTGCAGCCCCAGCCTGGCCCCCACACCCCACCCCGGCCCCCACAACCCTGGCCCGGCCCTCAGCCACCTGCAACAGAGCTTTGCAGACATGGAGGTGGACTGTGAGCAGCACGTCGAGCTCCGGGGCACCGGCCGTGAGCTCCCCGGATGACGCTTTCAGTGGCGGCTGTGGGGACAGCATCCTGTCTTGTCTGAGGGGAATGGAGAAGAACCGGGAGAGCATGCAGTTAGCAGTTCGGCTCCCCTGAGGGTGGGCGTGATGTGCACTCCCGAGGTCAGCATTGCAGAGGCCCACTCAGGTCCCAGGAAGACGGAGCACAAGGGAGGACCAAGCTAAGGAAGGGAAGAAGGGCAGGGGCTGCGGCAGCTCTCAGGAGCTGGGAGGCATGCTGAGACCTGGGCAGGGCAACCGAGGACCCAGGTTTGCACCAACCCGAGCTCTGTCCTGTGGCCAGATCTGCCACCCCAAGCCTCAGTTTGCCCATCTGTAAAGTGGAGGGCACAGAACTCAAACTCAGGGTCGTGGGGGTACTTGAAACAGGGCTGGCCAGAGTCTCCATGGTGAAGGCCAAACACGAGGCCCGACCAGCTCCTGGCAGATCAGAAAGGCCAAGTGACACCCGAAAACCCATGGGATAAATCACACCCTCCCCGGGCTGTGCGAGAAGAGGAGGAAACGATTCGGACCGTGCACTGATCTATCCACGCTGCTGAGATCTGGGTGCAGGGGAGCCCTGGGACTGGCGGGACTGGGCAGGCCGGGGCTGATTAGCTGCCAGGGGAGCCAGAGCCCGGATGAGGCCCTGATGTTGTGGGCTGGGGAGCGGGCAGTGCCGGTCACTGCTGCGTGCTGGTTACATGGAGTCAGAGAGGGTCTAACTCTGTGCTTGGTATTGGGGAAGGTTTCCAAAATAGCAGAAGCCCAACCTCAGAGCAGAAAGCTCAGGGCCGGAGGTGGGGCTGGGGAAAGCACAAGAAAGACCCAAGGACAGAGGAAGCAGCCAAGGGCAGCGGGGAAACAGCAGGAGGCCGTGACGGTCACGAGGCACCATGGGGGTGTGCACTCACCGGGGACCGTGGGAGCCCCCAAACAGGGCCAGTGGATCCGGGGCAAAATCGGCATTGAGGAAGGCAAAGCTCTCCAGGATGCACGCCATCAGGCTCTCGGTGGAGGCATGTTCTCGCCGCGGTCCGGGGGGCTGCGAACAGAGCGGCCAGACCTGAGGGCAGCGCCGGGAGCCCCCGTGCAGCCGGACATGGTCACTAAGGCCTCGCTTCAGGACTTCACAGAGTCCTGGCCACAAGCCCCTACCCCACACACAGTCCCAGCCACTGTGTGAGTTGTGAGTTGACGTGGCACTCCCTGAGGACCCTCCGCGTGGCCTGTGACAAGTTATGGAGGAAATCCTGAGGGACATGGATCCGAAGAGGCCTGCCAGAGTCCCAAACATCCATGGGACAGTTGACCAGACTGAGTGAGCATTCGGGTGGGGCTTGTGGAGAGCAGGGGCCTCTCCCTAGCTGGGGTGCTGCTGCCTGCTCCAGCCTGCTCCAGCCGGCCCCTGCCATTGGGGCCTGTGGGACCCTGAAACCTGGGGTTTGATGGGAAACTGCCCAGTTTTTAACCATCCATGACAAATTCCATTTTTTTCTTTTTAATTTGCTGTAGGAGACTGCACTGGCAGGAGAGAGGGAAAGTGAGAAGGCGCCCTGGGGCATGGTCACACAGGCCGACTCCCAGGTTAATTTTAATATAGTGTCCGTCAGGCCAAGCGCTGCTTTCAGGAGACTCAGGCGCTGCCTGTGCATTGCGGGTTCTCTTCTCCCGGGGATCCGTGGAAGGAGGAGAGTGGGGAGCAGCCCCCCAGCAGGAGAGGGGAGTGTCGGAACCACTGCCCCTGCTGCAGAACCTCCAGGGGCACCTCCCTGCGGATTCCTGTCTTCGCGATCCTGACCATGGCTGACTCCAGAGCCAGGTCCCGTCCCCCTCCCCAGCACCTCAGGCCTCATCCCACATAAACTGCATCCAAGACACAGCCCATGGGAGGCTTCCGGCCAAAACCAGGTTCTAGAAGGTGGTGTCTAAGGGAAACCCCTGAGCAAGAAGGGAATGGGTGGCTGCAGAGATTACTTTCCTCACAGAACAAACGTGCACATACGTATGTATGCACGTATTTGACGCACACGGATACATGTGCATGTGTGCATATGTGTATGTGCGCACATGTCCATAATGTGTGCGTGCGCACACATGTGTGTGAACGTATGTATAACACGCACATGTATGTGTGCATATGCAGCCAAGTCTCATCGTTTGCAGGGGTTATTATCTTCTATAACGTGATGGCCAAAAGCTGAACTCGCAGGTTCAGAATCCTGGCTCCGGGGAGACATGGGGCCAGGTTCCTGCGAACCTTGGCCACAGCATTTCATCGGCCAGTCAGGACAGAGGTGGTTGTGTTTCCGTGTTAATCATTAACGCCGCACTCACAGCCCCCAGCGCCGCAGCAGGTGCCGCGCAGCCGCTGACGCTCAGAGGCTCAGCTGGCCCAAGCTTGGCCTGGGAGGCGTCTCACCAGTGACACCACCAACAAACCCACAGAACGGGGCCAGGAATGGACACGCCTCACAGTGCGGGCGGCTGGCGAGAAGGCAGTGTCACCTCTGGAGCCTCGGCTAGGGTCACGCCTATCGGTGACTCCAACTCCACTCTGTCCATCCCCAAGTGACCGCAGACACGCCTTGCTTGCCGAGTTTGCGGTTAGAAATACATCGCAGCAAGTCCGTGCACTCGAGCGCGCAGAACCCAGGAATGAACGTGTACATCCACACACCTGTTACACACTCGCGTGTGGTCCTACACACATGTGTGCATGTGACTTCCCTTTAGAACATCAAACTAAGGAACAGGTCATCGTTTTATTGTTCTGACTTTACCCCCAAAAAAGATTTCTCAGAGGTCTAAAATCATTGCATGACGGTGGTATTATTTTAAGGTTTTTAAAAATGATTTATATCATTTTATTATTTAATTTGCTATAGGGCATGGACACTCACCAGAGAAAGGCAGAGAGAGAAAAAATGAGAAAGCAAGCTGCCAGGTCCAGGACTTGAGCCACGGTCAGCCATGTTGGAGTCCAGCACCCTAATCACCATGCCCCCTGCTGGCCCTTATTTTAGATTTCTATGAAAGTGAATATAATTTTCCAAAACTCAGGTACTTGACAGAAGTTGTGTACATGCTGCCTCAAATTGTGCTACATAAAAGGCTGTTAAAAAGTACCAAAAAAAAGAGCTTTCTTTGTGATGTTTTTGTTGCTTTAATTTTTGGCTATCTGGTGCACACCCCTGCGGGAGCAGGGTGTAGAAAGCTCCCCCCAGGGGGATGGCCACACTGCAACCCCTGCCCTTCCAGTCTGCTCTCAGAACTCTGGGGCATGCTCTCACAAGTGCCAAATGCCTGGTGTGTTTTTCTTATCAAAGAATTATTTCTTTAATTCTATTTTTTTTTTCATTTGCTATAGGGCACATGTGTTCACCAGAAGGAGACAGAGAGGGGGAAAGTGAGAAAGCAACCCACTGGGCCCAGGACCCAAGCCGTGGTCTGCCGTGTGGGAGTCTAGTACCTCAGCCACCGTGCTACCTGCTGGCCCCAACCTGGTGTGTCTGTCTAGCCACCAGGCCCACACGCAAACCACACAGTCGCCACGCGGGCTCTAGCCACCTTAACCACCACACCACGAATGGCCTCCAAAAAGGTGATTTTTTTTTAGAATTATTTTATTTAACTTTATTTGTTCATTTTTAATTTAACGCAAGAGGGACAGAGAGAGG